GGCACAGGTGGGCGTCGGACACCTGTAATCCAGCACTCTCAGGAGCGGCCAAAGGGCGGCGGCTGGGAGTGCCTGAGCGTCAGGAGTGTTCAAGGCCACGCCTGCCAACCATGTTAAAACCCCATCGCGTCTACTAAAAATATAAAAGAATTACGCTGGGTGTGGTGGTGGCACCTGTAATCCCAGCTCCTCGGGAGGCTGAGGCAGGAGAATCACTTGAACCAGGGAGGCAGAGGTTGCAGAGAGCCGAGACTGTTGTCCACTGCACTCCAGCCTGGCAACAGAGTGAGACTCCATCTCAAAACAAAAAAGGAAAAATGTGGTACATATACACCATGGAATACTACTCAGCCATAAAAAAAGAATGAGATCATGTCCTTTGCAGCAACATGGATGGAGCTAGAGGCCATTATCCTAACTAATGCAGGAATAGAATACCAAATACATGTTCTCACTTATAACTGGGAGCTAAACACTGAGTACACATGGACACAAAGAAGGGAACAGACACTGGGGCCTACTTGAGGGTAGAAGGTGGGAGGGGGTAAAGAACTGAAAAATTACCTATCAGGTACTATGCTTACTACTTGGGTGATGAAATAATCTGTATACCAAACCCTCGTGACATTCAATTAACCTATATAACAAACCTACACATTTATCCATGAACCTAAAATAAAGGTTTAAAAAAGTCTGTGCACATTTTAGAAAAGGATAAGAGGTATGACAGGGAGAAGGAAGCCAAACACTAGCTAGGGAGTTAGAGACACACAGTGAAGACACTGAATTATATTCCAAGGAGTATGGATTGCATTACTCTGCAAGCCACAGGGAACCACTCAATACTTTTGAGCAAAGGACTCATAAGGCTTGCAAGGCCTTACTTACATTTGCAACATTATGTTTTAATATTCTACTCTACAAAGGGCTTTGGTATCAACACTCTCTTGCTAAAAGAAACCAACTGAAACAATCTCTAGTCCCAATAATAAAGTAAAATTTCAATTCACCCTGAAGATTTTTAAGGAGTCTCGTTTACCTTCTATTTGACAAGCCTGTCTTGCCCAATATGGAGAAAGTCTAAATATTTTTGGTTTTCAGAAACACTTGTACTATTAATTAAATCTCTAATGATGACATGCAAGCAAAACACAGTCTTTGTAAATTAAAATAAATGTAGAGTCACAAGCATATCTACAGAATTTTGTATAACAACTTTAGTACTAATTTTAAATTCACATAGGTTTTTCTTCCTGACTAAAAGCAGATTATTGCAAAGACCACAATGTAGTAATTCCACAAAGGAGGAGAAACCATATTAAGGAAATATGGTATTGCTACTGCTCTGTGCTTCTCCCTTGTTGATGCTAAACATAAGCACACACAAAAATTTATCACTACAATGTTCTTGGTTCCATCCCTGTAAATGGTATTAATGTCAACACCTGATCAGCAGCCTAATGATTTGTTTGCAGTCTAAGTTTTACCTATTTACCTGGCACTTAGCACAGGAATGGAAAAATACCAAAGAAGGAAAAGTTTTGAAGAAACTTTTAGGAACAAAAGAGATTTGTTCCTATTGTTATTAAAAAGTATATTACTTTTAAAAGCAAAGGAAAATAAACTCTTAGCTTTGGCCAATAAACAGTTGATATTTCCACTGTTATAGTATATAATAGTATCTGTTTCAGAAGCATGAAATCAACATGAACCGATCAGAAAGGAACTGTGGCATTTCTTTATTCTTTACCTATTCACTGAGTGTTTGCTATGTGCCAGGCACTGTCCTGTCCTAAGTTCTGGGAATATCAATTACTGGGGAGAAGGAAAAGGAAAAGAGAACTGCAATATAAGGTGAGGCCAGAGGGAAAATAGAGAATTGTGAAAGCAGAGGCAAGAAAGTTGGCTGAGGTCAAGTAAGAAGAAAAGCAGAAGAAAGGAAGAAACGAGAGGAGTAACAGAGAGAGGGAAATGGAAATAACTAATCCAAATAGTGGAGGAGCTTCTGAGGCCCGCACCTGGGCAGGGTTCCTCAGAGAAATATGCAAATATATCCTGAATAGGGCAGAGCCAAGGAAATGAGGGGGCGGTGCCTCTGGGAGGCTGGGGCTTCCCTACTGGGAGTGAAGAATGAAATACACAAAGATGACTAGTGGGAGAAAAGAGGAGAAAACACTCAAAAGCAATAATGGGACAATAAAGAACTAGAAGGAAGAAGAAAGGAAATGGAAAGAAAGAGACACAAACGACAATGGGTAATGGGGAGAAGTGATGTGGCCACAGCAGCATGGATGTCAGAGAGAGATGAGAGTGATGGAGCCCAGGAGTGAGGCAGACGGATGATATGAAAGAGATCGTATGGGCCGGGCGCGGTGGCTCAAGCCTGTAATCCCAGCACTTTGGGAGGCCGAGACGGGCGGATCACGAGGTCAGGAGATCGAGACCATCCTGGCTAACACGGTGAAACCCCGTCTCTACTAAAAAAATACAAAAAACTAGCCGGGCGAGGTGGCGGGCGCCTGTAGTCCCAGCTACTCGGGAGGCTGAGGCAGGAGAATGGCGTGAACCCGGGAGGCGGAGCTTGCAGTGAGCTGAGACCCGGCCACAGCACTCCAGCCTGGGTGACAGAGCGAGACTCCGTCTCAAAAAAAAAAAAAAAAAAAGAAAGAGATCGTATGATAAGGAAAGGAAGGAGGTGTTGATCACAGGAAGATGGAATTTATAAAGCAAGAGAAAGAGGAAAAGCAATGATGAGAGGATGTGAATGGTGCAGAGGAAGCAAGGGAGTAACTAGAACGGGGTGGGGGGTGTGGAGCATGATGGTGCTGAAAGAAGATGGGGCTTAGGCTAGCTTCATGGGAGTGAAAACTGGTCAGTTGCACAGGGCCCCTTGCTCAGAAAGGTCCCATTCTTGGTTGAATGCTCTGTTGTTCTGTCTTAAAATTCTTTGTAATTTTTGAAGAGATTTTGTGTTTTCACTTTGCATCAGGCCTTGCAAATCATGTAGCTGGTCCTGGCTGGAACAGACTGTGGGATGGGTGATAGGCGAAGGGCTCTGATGGGGCCATGAAGGATTTAGGTAGGGCAACAGTGGATGGGGACTGTGAATGGCAAGTAATGACAGGGACCCGAGGCTCTTGAGGTTATAAATGAGGGGGCTGGGGGGCAGGCAGGGTGTCATTGAAGGGTTGCAGAAATAACCCCTCATTAGAGAGGCTGAAAATGGGGTGTACTGTAATATGGGGGAGTGGTGGGGTGATACAAGATGTTAACACAGGAGCCAATGAGCACACAGGGCAGTGGTGTTGAGCAGAAGAGCCTTAATGAAGATGTGTGACAGCAGGTGATCATATGTTAGGAAATCAGGGTGTGACAGGTGGACAAGGGCCATTGATTGGGATAACAGCAGGCATCTGTGAAGCTTTCGTCCAGGTTTCTCCTGTGAGATAAGACATCTCCAATATTTCTGTGTGAGCCTCTCTTGTGGTATCACTCCATGACTAAAGATCTAGGGCTGGGTGCATGTCACGTGTTGATTTCAGAATTCACTAATTTCCTACCACACTTAGCATAACGCAGATGCCACAGTGGGGGTAGGGGGGTGTCCACACAATTGAAGGAGAAACAGGAGGTAAAGGGACCAGAGCCAACGGAGAAAGGCGGGGGAGTGAGTGAGGGTGCAGACAGATAAGATGTTGATGAGGGGGAATATTGGAATCACCGTTTGTAACAATCGTCAGCAGGAGAGGGACAATGGGGAGGGGTCAAGGGAGAGGCGACAGAGGGGCGCAGACTCCTGACCTCAGCCATCCTGATGCTCTCTGGGGGCGGCCTCAGAGGCTGCTGTGGAGATCGCAGGAGCGGGGCGGGAGTCTGGGAAAGAAGCTAAAGGCGCGACGCGCTGTCTCTATCGCCCGCCCCGAGCGGAAACCCGCGCTCGGCGCGTCGTCCCGTCGCCTGGCAACCGACACGCCCTCTAGGGGCGCTAGCGGGAATTCGAAAGGGGAGGAGCTTCTGAGGCTGGCACCAGGGCAGGGCTCCTCAGAGAAATATGCAAATATCTCCCGAATGGGGCGGAGCCAAGGAAATAAGGGAGCGGTGCCCCTGAGAGGCTGGGAGGAGTCCCACAGTGCGGGCAGATGGAGACACCCAGGAGAAAGAAGTGGGCGAATGGGAAGAGGCCACCCAGAAAGGACGGTGGGGGACTAGGGAGCCAAGCATGGAGAACCGAGGACTAACGCTTGGAAGGAAATGTGGAGCAGAAGTTTCTGGATGAGGGAAGGACAGACGGCTACTCTCTGTCTTCTAAGACAACGAGGAATAATCTCACTTCCAGTCAGTTCAACCCTTGTAAAACAGCTACTGTGTGCAAGACACGGAGGGACAGCTGAAGTAGAGAAACCACAGATGCTGTCTTCAAAGGATTTAATCTAATATTAGTGGTGAGAAAAATAGGGTGCAGAGCTTAAGATATCCTGGAAAAACGTATGTAGCACCACATCACGAAAATCTTTCTTCTGGGATCCCACTCCCAAAACCGTTTCTTTGCCCTCTTCTCTCCCCTCTGCCTTCACTCTTTCTGGACTTCAGGTACAAATAGTTGAAATAATTATACTCCTTGGTTCGTGAAATGTGTAAGACTCCTATCTGGTTTTATTTTCTCCCTTTATCCCCACCCCTACTCCCAACCCCTATCCTCAACCCCATAAGTATTCATGCTACTGTGCTTCCATATGTATTTTTGGGAAATGTACAGCATTTTTATCAGTGTATTTTTAAAAAATGTTTAAATAATGCTACTGGACTTTAGAGATTATCTTATTTTCTACTTTTTTCACTCAACATTCTTTTTAAGGATCTGTCCTCGTTGCGATTGGCAAGCATATTCTAGTTCATTGCTTCTGAGTACTGCACAGCGTTTCAGAAGGGGCATCTACCACACTTCACTTCCATTCCCGAGGTGTTAGGTAACAAGGCTGCCTCTAATTCTCCAATACATCAGGTAATACAGCCACGATCGTTCTTGTCCGTGGTCCCTTATGGACCTCTGTGCAAATTCCTCTGAAATATATGCCAAAGAGCAAAATTGTTAAAGTCATAGGGATGCATAGGGACATTTGCTTATGCAGCTGCGTCCTGCACAAACACATCCAACCATGGGGCAATGGAGGCTGAAAAACAGCCTCTACTCTCTTTCCCATGCCATGTGCCCTACTGGAGGAAGGTGTGCACTTTTTATTCTCACAAAATCTCTGTACCCCAGCCAAGTCATGAACCTAGAAGGCTGTAACTATCTAGAGGGTGTGATATTTTCAAACTCATCTGGCCAGAAGTGAACAGTTTTCCAAAAGCACAACGATGTCCAACAGCCTAGTACAAGCCCAGGGTATTTACCAAGCACTTTAAGATTGTGTACCAGAGTTACTACCCTAGGCTGTACTCCAGTGTGTTGTACAAGGGTTTCCGTCCAACACTTCCATCCATCCCTTCCAGAACGTGGTAGGTCTTTTTTATTAAACACTCATAAAGTGTTTAGTAAATGCCAGATACTATTCTAAGTGCTTTGCAAATATTGACTCATCTAATTAGCTAATTTTCTAATTTCTGTCAATATGATGAAAGTAGTGTAAGTACATTTTTTGCTTTCATTTTCACTTCTCTAACTACTAGTGAATTTTTTGACCATTTCTTTATACATTCATAGGCTACTTGAGATTCCCTTCTGTGAACTGCCTTTTCAGCATCTTCACCTATTTTTCTATTGGTCTTTTTTCTTTTGATTTGCAGACATCTTTGAGAAGCCTGGACATCAATCTGCTTTAGAAGACTAGAAACTCTGCCTTTATGTCCTTAAGGGAACAACAGCCCTTAATTTTCATACTGTGGCTCTTTAGCTCTTTTTTCCCCTATATTTTATATAGTTTTTTGGTATTATTTAGACTTCCTTAACCCCAATGTCATAAAGGTATTCACCCATCATTTTTTTCTATCTATTAGCTTCATAGTTTTACTTTGTTACATTCAGTTATCTAATCCATCTGGAGTTTTCCTTCCCATATGGTGTGAGATAGGGATCTAACTATATTTTTCTCCATAGGGTGAGCAAATTTTCCAACAACTCATGTCAAACAATCCATTCTTTCCAAATTGGTTTAGGAAAGTTTCAAATAGACATGAGTATATTCTGAGCTCTCTGGTTTGTTCATGTGTCAGTAGCACAGCGTTTTATCACTGTGGGTTTTTAGTCAGTCATCACGGTTGAAGGGCAAGTTCCCCATTCCAAATTCTTCTGTGTCAAAATTGCTTTGTCTATCCATGGACCTTTATCCTCCCTTATAATTTTTAGAGTAAGTTTGTCAAGTTTATGAGAACTGTGTTGAATTGATGAATTAATTCAAGGAAAATTGACAACTGGGCAGTGACATCTCATTCATGACCTGACACTATATATCTGGTGGACAAAAAGAGGGAAATGTGGCTGAGTCATAATGTGCATGGAGGTTGCTGGAGAGGTGGCGGATGAACTGGAGAGGTAGGCTGAACCACACTGTAAGCCAAGCAAATAGAAATGAGCTTGAAATGGGACCGGCAACCCAGCTCGGGCTGCTTTGTGTGTTCACAGGAAACCTGATTACACATTGAGACCATCGGCTTGTGGGATTGCCATGATCCAGAGAAACTCCATAACATTTCTGAAGGTATATAACAAAAATAAAGACCTAGAGGGCCCTGGTCACCCATATGTTGCACTGATGTCAAGTGCAGGGCTGTGTGTCTTCCCATGTCCAGGGGATCTCCTAAAAGAGATTTCATAAGCAGGTGGCCTGCATAGGTGACAGCAATTCAATCCAGTAAACAATTTTTAAAGAACTTACTGCATGGTAGGCACACGGCTGCCCACAGGAAGCACCAAGGTGACTATGGCAGAGTCACTGCCCTTTGCATTCACAATCTGTATTAGGGGAAAGACAGAAGGGAACATCTACAGTTAATTCTAACGCAATATGATGGTATAATTTAGTATATGCCATTTTAACAGAAAGCACAATGGGAGCTCAGAGAATCTAGATACTGATATCTGAGACCTTACTTATAGGAGGACAAAAAGACCCAAATACGAGCAATCAAAGAACCACAAGGAGGTAGAAAGGCACGTGACATGTTCAGCTCATAGGAAAGAGATGCAGGGGGCATCAACAGAGATGGATGAATGGATGAAAGAATGGGTGGTTGGACAAATCAATTTATGCTGATGAAACAAAATGCTTGATTTCCAATTTTCTGGATTACAGAAGACTAATCACCACCCTGCTCCCCTGTGTTGTTGTAATAAGAAGAATCACTAGGTGGCATTATAGTACCAAAAGTCCTCACCTTTCAGAGCCTCTAGGAGAAACACACCCAACAAGATCGCGTCAGCCCCTAATTTAGACAAATGAGTGCTTCTATTCATCTCATTTCTCATTATATCCACTTAATTTATTTCTTGAGCACCTACTATATGTCCAGCCCTATGTTGCATACTATGGAGAGAGAATACAAAAGGAGTTGAAGACAGATCTTCTCCCCCAAGGAGCATAAGGAGAAGCAAAACGTGCATGCCAACACTCCCCCATAAAAGATTTTCTGACAACAGTCCCAAGACAGGATGTAGTAAGCACTGAAATCAGGATGTCAGTAAATAAGGTCCTGTGTAATCTGGCCCTTTCGACTTTCTGGTGCCAGCTCCCATCACTCACTCCTTGTTACACTGGTTCTTTCAATTCCCTGGATAGCCATGCTCTTCCCCACTGCCCGGAATTCACAAATGCTGATCTTCCTGTCTAGAATACTTGACTCTCTCTCTTTCTCTCTTCAGCTGGCTGGCTCCCATCCATCCTTCTTTCAGATCTCACTTCTTCAGATTACCTTCAGTCTCACTTCACCAGACTACCTTTTCCAGGATTGTGTATTCTACTTCTTGCATCATCCCACAAGGGTAACTAATGGCCTAGTCACATAAATGGTTGCTTAACACCTGTGTTCCTTACCACGCTGTCAAACTACAGGAGCACTAAGATGATGCGTATCTTCTTCACCCCTGTCTCCACTGGTGTTAGGGGCTGAATTGTGTCCCTCCAAAATTCATACATTAATGTCCTTATGCCCCCTACTTCAGAATGTGATGGTGTTTGGAGATAGAGCCTTTAAAGAGGTGATTAAGTTAAAATAAGCCCAATCAGACTTGTATCTTTACAAGAAGAGGAAAATTGGTCACACAAAGAGACATCAGGTATGTTATGTGTACACACAGAGGAATGACAGTGAAAAGGAGACTATCTGCACAACAAAGAGAGGGGCTTCAGAAGAATTCGAACCTGCTGACACCTTGATCTTGGACTTCTAACCTTCATAACTGTGAGGAAATCAATTTGTTTGTTTGTTTGTTTGTTTGTTTTGTTTTGTTTCAGTGGGGAGGAGTTTGAGATGGAGTCTCACTCTGTTGCCCAGGCTGGAGTGCAGTGGCACAATCTTGGCTCACTGCAATCTCTGCCTCCCGGGTTCAAGCGATTCTCCTGCCTCAGCCTCCGGTGTAGCTGGGACTACAGGTGCGCACCACCACACCCAACTAATTTTTTATATTTTTGGTAGAGACAGAGTTTCACCATGTTAGCCAGGTGGTCTCGAACTCCTGACCTCAAGTGATCCTTCCGCCTCAGCCTCCCAAAGTGCTGGGATTACAGGTGTGAGCCACCATACCTAGCCTCAATTTTTGTTTGCCACCCAGTCTGTGGTATTTTGTTGTAACAGCCCTAGCGAACATAACCAGCCAGCACTCTGCTGAATAATAACTGTTCAGTGAATCACTATTGAATGAGTTCTAAAGTAAGGAAGCCCAGTGAACCATGACATCTTAAAGAAAGGTGCATGGTAGACATGGTTCTTAAACTTGACCTTAAATGATATGTATGAGTTAGAGACATGGAAGGAAGTAAAAAGAATCTCAGGTATGGGGAACAGCATTGGGCAGAAACCAAGGCAAGAATCCAAAAATCCTGCTTTAGGCAGGGTGAGGTCCCTATCAGGTATTGGTGGACACTAAAGTTGATAAGAGGGCATGGGTGAATAGCAGAGAGCCTTGGAAGGATAGCAGAGAAGTGTCTCCAAACTCAAGGACCAGGGACAGTCAAGAACACACCCATTTGTTCTGCCAGATATCTCAAATATATGATCATGAGCTATATAATCGCCTCTTGTTAGTACCCTCCTAGAACTTCTCAGTTGTGTGCTGTAACACAGTAATAAGAACAGTATTATATACCCAGTGTTCACCTCTTCAACAGCACCCAGTGAAGATATGAAGCAACCTCCAAAGAAGCAGAAACACTGACTTGCAGGCCTACATGTAAATTCCTAACCTGTAATGCAAAGCAACTGTGCCCTAACAGAAATTTACCTCTGTAATAGATCAGAGAGGTCCCAGAGGCTAGTTTGGGAGTATCTATATCATTCACAATCTCCTCTGAGATTATCAACTCCCACCCAGAATTACGTGCCTCCCTGAAGCCATGATGCTCTAAGCCACCCTACCTACCTCCCCAGGGCCATAGCTGATGGGTCAAGGGGAGACCTGACCCACATGAAGCCAATTCTATTATTTTTCCTGGGAATTTATAACAGGGACTAAGAGCAAGTCAATCATTGCTCAGGTCTGGAACTGAATATGTGAAGCCCAGGAGAGGCAGAGAAAGGCAGGCGGCTGTATGGAGGGAAGAATAAAGCAAATAAATGAGGGGAATCCACAGACCAAAAGCAGGAAGCGAAAAATGGGGGAGGGAGCTTCTTCCTTGGTGGCTGATGCCCTGTGGGAACCTGGTGGCAGTCCCTTGAGAGACCCAGCAACACCAGGTCTCCTAGATTCTGCTAGATAATTTGTATCCTCCTAACAAAATCACTTCATTTGTTTAAGCCAGAGGAAGTGAGTTTTCTTTGTATATATCAAAAATAAAAAAGAAATTTAAAGTCTGCATCAACACAGATCCTGTTTGCACAGGCATTCTTGTGGCATTGCTGGATTTAGTGTCTATGGAATCTAAAAACTACATTTGGGGCCCCTAACGACATGGTAAAAACTGCTCCTGTCATCATATCTAACATTTTTCCTGCAGACTGTTAGGAAGATTAAAAGCCCACGTGTTACAGAAAATTGTTATCATTTATCAGCCAACCCTATGGTCACCTTAGATGACAAAGCAGAGTCCCCACTGGCTAGTGCTCTCCAAAACTGTTCGGGGCATATTTTATTCCTTTAATCTTCTCCTTTTCCCGCCTACTGCAGTGCTAACTTAACAGAACATTTGTTGAGCATTTGACATCAGCTCCCAAAGGGTCTCCAGACAAACTCCCCTCGTGACACCTGATGAGGCGACAAAGCTCAGGCAGATTTATTAGGAAGACTGAAAGGTCAGGTGCCAGGTAGAAGCACTGAGGGAGCAGCCACAGCGGGTAAGCATTTTTACTAGGAGAAGGAGATAGCAATGTCATAACTACCCAGTCATCTTACCTGCCTTGAATTTTATTGGCTTGAAACCAGTTACTCTCTTATCCTACACAGATTACTTTTGGGTATGACTGGTTACGCCAGATCATTCAGTTGGTGCTTCTTGCCCAAGACGCCAAGGTTGCAGTTTGATGTCCTACTCAGGACTGGTAAGGACGTGCACAAGCCAACCGGTGGACCAGATTGGTTAAAAAGTCTAAGTGGGTCAAGTGTGATGGCTCACTCCTGTAATCCCAGCATTTTGGGAGGCTGAGGTGGGTAGATCACTTGAGGTCAGGAGTTCGAGACCAGCCTGGCCAACATGGTGGAACCCTGTCTCTACCTAAAATACAAAAATTAGCCAGGTGTGGTGGCAGGACCCTGTAATCCCAGCTACTCAGGAGGCTGAGGCAGGAGAATCACTTGAACTCAGGAAGTGGAGGTTGCAGTGAGCCAAGATTGTATCACTACACTCCAGCCTGGGTGACAGAGTGAGACTTGGTCTCAAAAAAAAAAAAACTAACTGGCTCCATACAACCTTTTCTCACTAATAGTAAATAGATAAATAAATAAATAAATAAATAAATAAATAAATAAATAAATAAGTGAGTGGGTAAATAAGTAGCTGAACAATATGACAAGACCTGGTCTACTGGGGGAACCAGCCCCCAGTAGTTCAATGTAGGTTCTTTTCTATTTTCCCTAAGTGTCAGCCAATCTGAGAAATAAAGAGAAAGAGTACAAAGAGAGGAATTTTACAGCTGGGCCTCCAGGGTGACATCACACATTGGTAGGACCGTGATGACAACCCCGAGCCTCAAAACCAGTAAGTTTTCATTAGGGATTTTAAAAGGGGAGGGGATGTACAAACAGGGAGTAGGTCACAAAGATCACATGCTTCAAAGGGCAATAAAGATCACAAGGCGAAGGCAAAATTAGAATTACTGATGAGGGTCTATGTCCCGCTGTGCTGATATTGTCTTGATAAACATCTTAACAGGAAACAGGGTTCGAGAGCAGAGAACTGGTCTGACTAGAATTTACTAGACTGGAATTTCTCAATCCTAGTAAGCCTGAGGGTACTGCAGGAGACCAGGGCATATTTCAGTCCTTATCTCAACCGCATAAGACAGACACTCCCAGAGCAGCTGTTTATAGACCTCCCCCGAGGAATACATTTTTTCCCCGGGGTATTAATTATTAATATTCCTTGCTGGGAAAAGAACTCAGTAATATCTCTCCTACTCACATGTCCGTTTATAGGCTCTCCACAAGAAGAAAAATATGGCTCTATTCTGCCCAATCCCACAGGCAGTCAGACCTTATGGTTATCGTCCCTTGTTCCCTGAAAATTGCTGTTATTCTGTTCTTTTTCAGGATGCACTGATTTCATATTGTTCAGACACACATGTTTTACAATCAATTTGTACAATAGTGATCCTGAGGTGACATACATTCTCAGCTTATGAAGATAATGGGATTAAGAGATTAAAGTAGAGACAGGCATAAGAAATTATAAGAGTATTATTAGGGAAGTGATAAACGTCCATGAAATCTTCAAAATTTATGTTTTTCTTCCTCGGCTCCAGCTGGTCCCTTCATTTGGGGTCCCTGACTTCCCGCAACACTGGTCTATAAAAATTTTTTTTTTTTAATGAGCTGGGCTGAGTAGGGAGGAATCACTGGAGCCCAGGAGTTTGAGGTTACAGTGAGCTGTGATTATGTCAGTGCACTCCAGCCTAGGTGACAGAGCAAGACCCTGTCTCAAAAACAAACAAATAAACAAAAGTAAATAAGTGAATGATATGGTCTGGATGCTTTGACCCCTCCAAATCTCATATTGATACAAGACTTCCAATGTTTCTACCTCAGGTGTTTGGGTCATAGGGGGTAGATCCCTCATGAATGGCTTGGTGCCGAGGTAATGAGTGAGTTCTCACTCTAACAATTCACATGAGATCCGTTTGTTTAAAGGAGCCAGCCATATCCTTTCTCTCACTCTTGCTTCCTCTCTTGCCATGTGACACATCAGCTCACACTTCACCTTCCACCATGGCTGTAAGCTTCCTGAGGCCCTCACCAGAAGCAGTTGCCAGCAGCATGTTTCCCACACAGCCTGCAGAACCATGAGCCAAAATAAACCTCTCTCCTTATAGATTACCCAGTCTCAGATATTCCTTTATAGCAATACAAACAGACAAACACAGTGAATAAATTAAAAAATTTTTTAAACCAAAGCACAAAATACCTTTGATGATGGGCCAATGTTTTATATCTACTATGCCCTGAAAGTCTCTATTTTCTAACTTTACAAATGCTGATCCTTTTCTGGAAAATCAAATGACTCCTTATTTGTCCAGTTAGCTCTTTCAAGTGTCAGCTCAGTCTTGCTTCATCCAAAAGAATCTTACCCAGTTAGGTTCCTCTCCTCTGTGCTGCTGGAAAGACTGAGCATGTTTTGTCAATTCTATGCATTATCATTGTGTGTTGACTTCTATGTCTCCCCCACCAGACTGGGAGGACCAGTCTTTTCTTTAATACATCTATGGTGCTGCCTCATAGGAGACACTAGAAGTAAAAAGTTTGATGAATGAATGCAAAATACAATTAACTTATAAACTCATGCACACAGCAATTACTCTTGGGAGTGATTAGTGACTAAAGGAAGGTGAAAGGTATCAGTACACGAACATTTAAGATTCTACAGTAGTTAAAATTATTTCCAAGTACACACCAAGGTCCCAAACAGAAGTACAGATAGTAAGGATTACAATAAAATGGATTTATCTCATTTTTTCTTACCTGAAATGGAAATACCAAAGAACGATGTCTTTTTTTTCTTACCCACAAGGTGGGACACACAATCGGTACTCAAAACAGGTGGACTACTGAATTCTCATAGGCAACAAGGATAGGCATCTATAAAATGAAATCTGCTATGTTAAAGGAATATCAAATGACTTTTTTTTTTTTTTTTTGAGACAGAGTCTCACTCTGTTGCCCAGGCTGGAGTGCAATGGCGTGATCTCGGATCACTGTAACCTCCTCCTTGAGGGTTCAAGCCATTCTCCTGCCTCAGCCTCCCAAGTAGCTGGGACTATGGGCATGTGCCACTATGCCCGGCTAATTTTTGTATTTTCAGTAGAGACAGGGTTTGGCTATGTTAACCAGGTTGGTCTTAAACTCCTGACCTCAAGTGATCCACCCATCTTGGCCTCCCAAAGTGCTGGGATTACAGGGTGAGCCACCATGCCTCTTTCTACCTGTTAGGTATGTGGCTTTCTTGCCAATACCTGCTGCAAGACCTACTGAATAATTTTAGTAGAAGTAAATGCCTGCTGAGCATTCACTGGGAACAGGTGCTTTTTGAGGCAACGCAAGGGAGGCAAAAAGCTTCAAACCTTTTTATACTAAGCAGGACAATTTAAACCTCTAGGACAGTAGAGACCAATCTAAGATACCATTGTATTTTAGAATCTAGCACCAAGGTTTGCAACCTTTTTCTATAAAAGACCACATTAAGAAATATTTTGAGGTAGAAAAAAATAGAACTATCCTGAGGACAGGTAGGAAAAAAGAACTATTTTGGGCTTCATGGGCCACATGGTCTCGTGGCAGCTATTCAACTGTGCTGCTATAGCCCCAAAGCAGCCACAGACAACACATAAATGAATGGGCATGGCTGAGCCAATATAATTGTATATATAGAAGTAGGTGGCACTCTGGATTGGGCCTGACAGCCATAGTTTGCCAACTCCTGATTTTGCACAATGCCTGGCATAGATTAGGTGCTGAAATATTTGTTGACTGAATGGATGGATGAATGAATAAGTGAATTAAGGTATTCCTAAGGTTAAAGCATAATGATTTGTGTTAAAGGCAAGGATGCCATCTTTAGACATTAACTACAAGGAGAGTAATGAATATCTACTGACCAGAAATAAGTTGGATGGAAATCATCTGACAGTTCTTTCCCACACCAAGTGGCGCATGTAGATGGGAAATTAACATATATAAACCAATAACAATTTTCAAAACAGAGATGTGAGTTAGAAGAGTGGTTTAAAGAAATATTTTCTAGCCAAGCATGGTGACCCACTCCTGTAATCCCAGCACTTTGGGAGGCCGAGGGAGGAGGATCACTTGAGCCCAGGAGTTTGAGACTAGCCTGGGCAACATAGTGAGACTTCATCTCTGCAAAAAATAGGAAAATTAGGCAGGTATGGTGGCACACACTTGTAGTCCCAGCTACTCAGAAGGCTGAGGCAGGAGGATTGATTGACCCTGAGAGGCTGAGGCTGCAGTGAAGCCGACCGTCACTCCTGCCTGAGCAACAAAGTAAGACTCTATCTCAAGATAAATAAATTTTAAAAATAGTATTTTCATCAAACTTTGGCTCTTGACTCATTTAATAAGTTGTGGCCTACATTTTTTTTTCAAAAGAGGGAAACATAGGAAGAGTGAAAGGAAAAGGGAACATAACAGTTTGTATCACATTGGGTAAACGTAACAATTATTTTTAAGGAATCTGTCTTTCAATTATAATGCACTTGTATGTGTGAGTATACTGCATTGTGAAATAAAATGTATTTTCAAAAATCTTTGAAAAACATAGGTTCTGTAGAATCTAATGATTCCTACCACATGAATTGATATGAGGATTACATGAGTTGGTAGGTGTAAAATGCTTGAGTAATACCTAGCACATGGCACAAGTTTTAGCTATTATTATTCTGTCACTAACCAGCAATGTGACCTTGAGTATGTGACCTAACTTCTCTGAACTTCATTTTTGTCAGTAAATAATCTCTAAAGGCCCTGTGGGCTCCAACATTCCCAGAGGAGGGACATGGTCAGCACTGACCTTGAGAAATGAAATAGGCAAATGCAAATCATTTGTCTTTTTCAACTGACACCTCTGAGGTCTCAGCAAAGCAGCCTGTTCTGTGAAACATCCTGTAAACTAACTTGCTATTATCTTGTGAAATTCCATGCGAAGTTGAATTCAGGGTAGTGGGAAATTGACCAAATCAAGGGAAGTGCCCTTTTTTCCCCTTCATCAGATGCTTACTGACTAGCATAGGCTTCCTGTCTCTCCCATTGTCATGCATTTTATTCCACATACTGGAATAACCACAGATAGGGGTGAACAGGAAATTTGTCCCTGTGTATTTAATCTTTTAAAAATTTCCAGTGCTCCTGAGATATGGTGTGAAGCTGCCCTGCAGTTGGTTCAGACTTTGTCACAAGCCACCCTTTTTTTTTTTTGAGACAGGGTCTCACTCCATCACCCAGGCTGGAGTGCAGTGGCTCGATCTCGGGTCACTGCAACCTCCACCTCCCAGGTTCAAGCAATTCTCATGCCTCAGCCTCCTGAGTAGCTGGAATTACAGGCATGCACTACCACACCTGGCTAATTTTTGTATTTTTTTCTATAGACGGGGCTTCGCCATGTTGGCCAGGTTGGTCTAAAACTACTGACCTCATGTGATCCGCCCACCTTGGCCTCCCAAAGTGCTGGGATTACAGGCAGGAGCCACCGCACCCAGCTGACAAGTCACCTTTCTTTTTTTTTTTTTTTTTTTTTTTTTTTTTTTTTTTTTGAGACGGAGTCTCGCTCTGTCACCCAGGCTGGAGTGCAGTGGCCGGATCTCAGCTCACTGCAGCTCCGCCTCCCGGGTTCACGCCATTCTCCGGCCTCAGCCTCCCGAGTAGCTGGGACTACAGGCGCCCGCCACCTCGCCCGGCTAAGTTTTCATATTTTTTAGTAGAGACGGGGTTTCACCGTGTCAGCCAGGATGGTCTCGATCTCCTGACCTCGTGATCCGCCCGTCTCGGCCTCCCAAAGTGCTGGGATTACAGGCTTGAGCCACCGCGCCCGGCCGACAAGTCACCTTTCACTATGGAATTTGAAGCCTCGTCTAGCACTTAAATGATCATAAAGAAAATTCCATCTACTTTCACATACACATGTGTACACATAAATAAGCCAATAGAAAACTGGGGGATGTTGTAAGAGTCTTCATACATAAAAACATAAAAGTGGCCAATAATGATGTTCTGTTCAGCCTCACTCATAATTAAAGAAATGCAAACCAAAATATTGAGATTAGGGGTTTTTTCATCTATAAAAGAAGCAAACTAAATTAAAGTTATAATAGAAAATACCCAATGTTGACAACAATGTACAGAAAAAGGCAATTGTCATACTATGCGAAATAGTTCAAATTGGTGAGATCTCTTTGGAGGGCAATTTTGTAATATATATAAAAATAGTAAATGCACATATCCTTTGATCCGCCCTGAAACTATCAAGGCACTGACCCAAAATAGCCATCTATATACAAGCTTCTTATGTGAGAAAAACAAATCCTTATTTGTTTAAGCCTTTTATAGTCTTAGATACTATAAAAATTACAGTCTGGTATTCCATTACTTTCAGCCAAACATACTCCTAATTGGTAATTTTTAAAAAGACTAGGGGTGAAGGAGGACATTCATATCTTGCACTGTCTTTAGAAGGTTTCTAGTATTTCCCCATTAAGCATAACACTGGTTTGGGGGCTGAACTTTACCCTTTGTTTTTATCATGTTACAGAGGGTTTGTTTATATTTCAATGACGAATTTTATCTGATGGCTTTTCAGAATATATGGTGATGATCTTTCCGTTTTTCTCTTTTGATCTATTAATGATGTAATATTCTTTGGTGTGCTGCTGGAATTCTATTTGTTAATATATTATTTTAAATTTCTGAAATAATTTATATGTTTATAAAGGAGATTAATACATTACTTTTCTTTCCCTTTTTCAATGAGCTATTTTTATAAGATTTTTGACTGATATAATGGCCTTAATAAAAAAGAATTTCGATCATTGAGGTTTTTTAAATGTAAATGACTAAACTTTTTATTTCTACATATTATATCTGTACTTTTTCAAATTTACTTGTTCTTTTCTCATAGTCCCATGTCCTATCATTTTATCTCTATATTTTGACCATAACTATTTTATACTCTTTTTCAAACTCAGATACTTAAGGGGCTAATTTTCCTGTTTATTACATTTACCAGTTCACATCCTCATGTGGTTCATTTCCTAGTCTGGTTTTCAATTTTTCATTATAAGCTTAATGATTATTAATAATTCTTAATTTTAAGAAATTAATATAATTTTAAAAATATAAAGAATATTTTAATTTCTTATCATAAAACATTTTAATTTCTTATTGTAACTTCAATGGGAGTTGTTTATTCCGCTAGGGACCAGGATAAACAACTGAATTTTACATTTGCTTCTGACAGGGCCAAGGGGATTCACCACTTTGAAACAGGTTTTTTGTGTTTTTTCTTGACATTACGATTCCCTCAGCACATGGGTGTTATAAATTGGGAGCTCACACCTATGCATAGTAGAGGCAGGCTAGGGGTTTTCATTTCTATAGAAAACATTTTAAAATTCATCCAGGGCCCCGATAAACCACAAGCTTCCTTGCCGTGACCCTGAGTCAATGGGAAGAGGGCTGTTTTCTATCCTCCTGTTACTAAAGGGCAGCCTTTCTAGGGTTCCAGCCTTAGGCAGGGATCTCAAGTACAGATCCCTGTCTTTGTAGAACTCAAGGCCTGAATAGATACTAACCCCAGTCACTGAGTGGGTACTCACTCCTGGTCCTTAGCCATTTGGGCTTATATTCATGTCATACTTTTGAGTCCCCTTGACCTATCTCACACCTGGAGACCACCTTTCTTCCCTTCCATTGTTGATATATTTTATTCAGCCTTTCACTGTTCAAAGCAGGAGTTCCCTGACTTCTTGACCGCTCAAGTTCCCACAAGTTGAACATCTGTACTTTCCTATCTTTTAAAAAACATTTCTAGAGTTAGCACAGGGCTCTGTAGAAATGACACAGGAGGGGTGTCCAACTCAGACACGGGGGTTCAAGGAAGACTTCCTGAAGGAGAACTGC